CCCCAAAACCCCAAAACCCCAAAACCCCATGTTGCCAAATTTAAGACAAATATAGCAATAATACATTTGAGAATAATAAATTTGTAAATAAAATGAGAGAAGGCAAGCTTTATCGAAAAAAAGACTAGTTTAAGGATGAAGAGAAGACGTAATTCGAACGAATCAAAGATGAAATAGTCAATTCAATATTTGGTGTCTTCTATATTCTCCTTAAATCTAGTGAATCTTCTCTCTGGAAGTTTGGAATCATACTTGGAGTCTAATTTCTGCAAGTTATCTCCTACTCCTTTGAAGAAGCAGTAAGTTTTATTCAAAATTTCTCAAGTTTTATGATTTAAATGGCATTTTATCAGTTAGGTGAAGTTTGGAAGTCGAAAAAAATAATTCAATACTTGACAAGTTTCTTATCAACCTTTAGAATTGTGTATTGGCTGGAAAAACTAACCTGGGATGTTTACATTATAATATACTACGTTTGCATATTCTTGATTTTTCTAGTCATAATTGACTTTGTTTACGTGGCTTATAGTTATAAAAACAGACGATTTGCTTTCGTCTGGCCTGTTTAACTATTAAGATACTCCTGCAAACTCATTACAACAATACTATTCATTCCAATGCTCGGTAAGTTAAATAGAATATTACTGACTATTTATGCTATAGAGCTGTTTATGAGCTTTTCAAGATGCTCAGATAAAGATGGCATGCTTGTTCATGCTGTATTTTAAAATGTTGTGTGTTTCCAAGGTATTCACATCCTTCATGTGACTTTGTCATTCTTTATCATCTTTCTTTTCATGGCTATTTGTATTACGATAACTCTCTGCAATTTTGAATCTAGAATGGGAAGAGATCCACTTGCAAAGTAAAGCTTTTATAGTTAAAAGTTTTTCTTCTAGAATGAAATCACTAGGAAGTCAAATAATGCTTTACTCAAAATTTGCATATGTATTTGCTTTTAACTGCTTTAGAAAGCCAGAGCATTATTGGTTTTTAAGCTTTGTACTCTTTGTTGGCTCAGCTACTGTTTTTATCATTAATGTATAATAAAGGCCTTACTTTAATGATAAAACTTAAAAGGTATGTCTTTTGACTCAATTTATAAACGATTTAGCTATTAAACATTCTTAATGGCTTATTTTTTTGGACTAATGCAGTATTAATGTTTTCATGTTTCGTATACAGCATAGATTTTACTGCCAATTTAGCAATATTCTTGCTTGGGATACCATTTGTCATAATGATAATAATAAATATCCCTGACATAAGAAAGGTATATCTGCTAGCTGGAACAAACCAAAACTTTCCCAATGGTGAACATATACTGCATCATATAACTTATTATATGCATTTGATAGACACTAAAGGTAGTTTTATTTTTTCTAAAGATAATTATAGATGATAAGAGGGAATCTGCTTTAACCTTAAAAGGTTATGTTAATTATCACTCAGAATATTGCCTACTTGAAAATTGTCCTCTTAAAAATTTTAAGTAATAATAATAGAAGGACTTAAAAAAATCATATGGCTAATTTGGCTAAAATTAAACATAATATTCTGGTATTTAAAATAAGAATTAAATAACAAGCCTTGAAAGTCACCCTTTATTACTTTAGCAAGCAAAGAACTTTTATACTACTGGCATTAAAAAATTCCCAAAGTATACTGCTTTGAAAATAGATTATGCCTAATTTTTGCTATACCGCATGCATAATAAGAAAGATGCTCTGAAGGAATTAATGATCGCTGAAAAACAATCTCCCAGCTTAGAATAGCAGTTTATGATTTTTAGATACAGACATATTATAGAGGATGAGTTGCATGAGGGATCAGATTCAGCTGGAGGCTTAGATTATGTCGCAGCAATTAACTTTGAAAATCACTATAGCCAGTTTAAGTAACTTATTGAAAAATCTTCACTTTTGCATTATGAGTTCTGGAACCATTTGATGGATGATTAACCAGATTTAGCGAGATTAAGTGAGTAAGGATCAAGAATTAATGCATCTATTTAGTAAGTTGAGGATTAATGGAAGAAACTTACACAATAAAGTACTTAAACACCAAAAGCTTTAAGAATGTATGCATCTTACCTGATCGAAATATTGAATGATAAAGAATTAGGAAATGAGCAACTTTAAAAAGCAAAAGAGGCTGCAGTAGCCAGAGTCAACTTCGACTTTAATAATATGCATGAAGATTCATCAGATATGAGCTCATTTGCCCCAGACGGTAGTCCATGTGTTTATATATCAGGTGAATAAGATCGCTTAGGTATAATCAGCTAATGCAATATGAGTGTATGCAGATTTTTCGGTTATTCAAAGAAAGATGATTTAATAAATCATGATGTTGAAATCTTAATGCCTAAGATATACTCAAGATATCATAAGAAATTCTTAGAATCAGCAATTTAGAAGCCACCAGACTTGCTTTCAAACAAAGAAAGACCTGTCTTTGGTAAGCATTACTCAGGCTTCATATTTCCCCTCTGGCTTTCAATCAAGAATCTGCCAAGTTTCCTGAGTGGCAGGCAATTCGTAGCTACATTTAAAATGGAAAAGAGTGGCATCAACAAAAATGCAGCCCACCTAATTTTAGACAAAAACAGAGAGGTTATTGACATTTCCTCTACTTGCATCCAGATGCTTGACATTGATCTTAATAAATTCGCTAAGTTAAAAGCTAAGTTTGATATTTAGCTACTACTGCCGACTCTGTTTGGTACTAATTACTATCAATTTCAGACTAAGGCAGGATTTCAAATTGAGTATTAGTTTCCAATTTTGGTAGAAATTGACAAAAATAAGGTGGATTAAGATGAAAATGGACATGAGGACAATTCAAATAGAAACGCCTATGCTTATGGAGATAATGATGATGACTAGCAGATTGACGATAGGACAAATGAATTTCAGGCTAATGACCAATCATTCAACAGAGGGGTAGGGTAGCACAATACCTATAATATAAGCATGATAGAAGAGGAAGAAGACGCATTGCTGAGTAATGATGGCAACTATTCTCCTCATTTGCGTATGGACGACATGAACTAAACTAATGGCGCTAATAAGTACTTAATGAAAAGAAATAATCTCATCAAGAATGTTTAGCAAATTGAAGAAGTAGATGGCGAGGATGAAGACAATGACGAAGTAGGTACTAATGATAGGAATGACGGCCAAGCTAGACTTTATGATTACAAGGTGGTCCCTTCCACTGATAAGTAGGGTGTGATCTTTTAGTGTAACATGAATGAGATTACTTTTGAAACTCCTAATCTTGAAAATGATAAGCCAGGTTATTCAGTAAGACTGGAGACTATTATTGATAATAATAGAGATAAGCCGTAGAGTGGTAATGCAAAGATCCAAAAATCAGTTAAATAATAAAGTTTTCAATTCAGTTATGATCCTATTTACAAAAGATTTTAAAGAGAGCTTAGAGACAAAGATAATAAGGAAATATTGATTGACAAAAATTATCTAGCTTTGAAAAAAATGAAAGAAGGGTATACTAATCAACAGAAGTCCGGGGCCCAACAAGTAATTCCCTCTAAGGTTTAGAATATGACCTATATGACTTATCTGAATAAGTATCAAAAGTGGCTTGAAAATGGGCAATAAGGCAATGTATTAGATCATGATGAGGATTCAGATAATACTTCAAACTAATCTGAAGATGATGACGGGGAAAGCAACGTTACACCAGTAAATAATAAGAAAAATTAATAATAAGATAAGACGTAAAATAAAGAACCAGAGCAGCCATTACCTATTACGAATGCCTTGTTAGGAGCATAAGAGTTTAGTGATCTCAAAAAGTTCATTCCAGGTGAAGGATCTGGAAAAGACTATCTGAAATCTGAAATTGAAAGAATGATTAACTTACTTAGGAAGAAATAAGAATGTGGAGATGGCGTGCATGTATTCAAAAGACTTGATCCTGGCTAAAAAATTACATCAGCTTCATCATAAAATCATCCTGGAGTGGGTTAGAGTGGAAAGTATGAAGAGGTTTAATACTCAGTAGCCAGTTTATTTGCAGGGAGATCAAATGAGAAGGTCTCTGATATGGACGATGATCATGACTATAAAGACGAGGAATCTGAGAGAGATAAAAACAAAAATAATGATTCAATGAAGAATTCGATTAAATCAAGGAAAGCATTTCAAATGGCTATTAATGACAAGTCAGTGCCTCCAGCCATTCAAAGACTTTCAAGAATAGCTAATATTATACTACTGGCGTTGCTTGCTATAGCTATAGTTGATTATTCAGTTCACTATAAGCAACTTAAAGATACAATTGATAACTTTAAAGTAATCTAAAATGCTTATAACAGACTCTCAGAGGTAAATAAAGTCTGCTACAATGTGAGATCAATGATTATGTTAAATCAAAAGATCATGACCAACTATTACGGCTATAAAACAAAGACAGAGTTTGTAGATAGCATAAAGAAAGATTTGATGGCTTCACTTAATGCCCTATATGAAATATAAAATGACATTAATCTATCATAACTTGATATTTCTGAACCTCATAGAGATCTTTTAGATGATAAGAGAGTTAAGTTATACTTTAAGCAAGACTTAGGCTCTATGCAGTCTTTAATGTTTTCTCTGACAGAATCAATTTTATAGATTTAATCCTCAATATTCACAGTTTCAAATCTTAATCTATAAGACTTTTCAGAGCAGACTAACGAGGATGTATTCTTCTTGATGTACAATTCATTCAATGAATTCAGAGGCGCTTTAGTTTAATCGGTTAACTATTATGTTTCTGAGTTGAGAGACAGAGCAGACTCAAGGATGGAACTTGCAGTGATACTTTTCATTCTCTCAATAGTCGCCTTGACTATTGTAGTAATTATAATTGTGCCTGTGGTAACAAGTGTTAACAGATAAAAAGACAAAGTACTTTCCCTTTTCTGTGAAATAGATGATTCAAGTATTAGAATATTATCTGTAAGGTGTGAGAAATTTATTACAAAGTTATAATCAGCTGAAGATAATCCTAACGACGATGGCCTTGATTCAAATGAGGATCTTGATTAAATCTATGCTTAAAAAACTGGACTTGATGGAGAAGATGATGACTACTCCGGTATGCTTGGTGGTAATGGTAAAAGGAAAAAGAGCTCTAAAAACAATACTAGGACAGATAAAACCTTCTATCTTAAATTTGTAGTAGCACTGTTTGTTATTGAAGCTTACTTTGCTTACAATTATGGCATGATGATAGAATATAATAGTCAAACAACTGTGTAGACTGATGAATTCAATAAAACTGGAGTAATAGAACCTTACTTCTGGTTTACTTTGAATAATCAAAGAGAACTCTTCTACAACAAATCTAAAATTATCAACATGGCTGATTCGTTCTAAGAGGCTTAAAAGGGACTGTATATAATGTATGCCACTGCTAATGATCTGCAAGAAACACATCTAAAAAATCAGGACATAATTTCCTCTGGTTATTGGGGCGAGTTCTAGGATATAATGAATCTCAATCTGTGTCCAGCTTTAGAATAAAAGACTGGCTATTTTGGAAATGTTGAACTATGCAACAACTTCGTTTATGGTATTCCTCAACAAGGTCTCAGTTTGATTTTTATGACTTTCATCAGGACCAAAAGACTTCAACTGTCGTAAAGCTAAACCAACTTCAGCAATTAGACTTTCCTAAACTATCTTCTTAATCAGCAGGAGACCTTTGATAACTGTAAGCATTAATTACTATTTTAATATATCGATAGATATCATACAAAACTAATTCATTCAAACATTTATGAGACAATTGATGAGCAGTTTCTATTCATCAATATCTGGAGGACTTGATACCAGAGTTCAAAACAGACTTTTTATGCTCATCCTATTTTTGATTCTTGTACTATTGGCTTATGTGAGTCTTTGGATCCCTTTGGTAAACTCCTTGACTTCATAGATTTATAAAACTAAACTTATGCTGATGATCATACCATTAGAGATTTTGATGAGAATGAAGAACGTAGGAAAGGTGCTCTAGAGTCAGAATTTTATTCAAGAAAAGACTAGAACTCCTGGAAGAAAGAACTCAGAGAACAGATAGTGAAGATCATATTTTATATTTAATAAGTTAAGATATGTTAAGAAAATTGTTTTTTCAATAACTCCCATCACACTCTCTCTTAAATATTTTAAAAGTCATTTTCTGTAAGCTTAAGTAATTTTTTACATCTTCTAATTTAATAAACTATTTGCAAGCTAAGTAACCATTATGAGTACCTTCCTCCATCTCAGATTTTAGTTAATATTTCACTAGGGTTAGTAACCAATATATTCTACTTAGTCTTCTTGCAGTTTCATATCCTGTATTCTAATACATCACTCCCTTTATTGGACAACTCGAAATTGAATAAACCTCTAATACAGCATCTTTAATTTCTATATCACTTCAAACTCTTGATATGCATTTTCTAGGCCTATTTCATCCGCACCAATAACACCTTCAAATGCTAAATCAAAGTAACCTGGACAGTAATCTTTTCTCATAGTTCTCTTTTAGTCGTAAAATTAACCTATATTGTTGTGAAATTCAAATCCACAGATTATTTTCTCTGATTTCTATACTAGAAGCTCGTACCACTGAAACAATATTTTCGTCAACAACTAGAACGACTTCTTCTTCAGAAGGTTTTGTTGACTGAATAATAATTTCAACTTGTCTTAATGATATAATATTTGAATAGAAGTAATGAATAAAATAGTTTGTGCCTTTGAATTATTGATTAAATTAAATAATGTAGCTAATTCATCATAATTGCTGCTGAGCATTAAATAATAATAACAACAACAATATATAGAGATGAACTTGCTACTTGATGGTTTACTAACCAGCACAAGCAATCACTCGTTTAAGTGATGTCTGTAATGGACGTTGCCTGGGTTAGAATAGTAGCCGTTTGCTGGGTTATAGTTGTTTTCCTTGTGAGTGCCGTGATAAGTATTCTTTTTAGCATCGAATAAAGCATCATTTGGGAACAGTAGACGGTACCATGTGCTATTTTTTCTTTGCATTTTGGCCTCCTCTTGATGATAGCTTCTGTAATTAGTCTCGTACATTTGCTTTTCATTTCTGTCGAGGTGATCTTTAGCTACCATTGCTGGGAATGGCTTAAGATCTGGTCTCGAGTACCAAGGATTTTTGTATCTATTCTCAACAGTAGCATAGGCGAAAAAGACTCCACCAAGTGAACAGGTGATGAAGAAGTATCTTCTGAATAGCTTTCTTGAGTAGTGTGAGGGATCAAGATTGTAGAAATCATGCAAGTATTTCTGAAGAGGGACTGATGGTACTCCTGTGCCTCTGGTTTACATTGATCTGCCAACATAGACTCCAAGTGGCCAAGTCAAGAGGAAACCAAAGATGTAATTTGTGAACATTTGTGACTGATAATCTCTCTTTTGCTCCATTGCGTTCTTCCATGCCCATCTCTTTGGACTAGCAGTGTACTTTCTGAAACGGTGAGTTATCCATGGATCACTTGCAAACTCTGACTCAAGCCTGTAAAATAAATCAATAAATCAATCTGAAGTTTTGTATTATTAGCAAAATTCATTAATTTAAGTCAACTTACCAGTCTAGATACTAGATCTCCTCTTCTCTGGTTGGCTCTCTAGAAGTCTTGAGCTCTAGCACCTCATCAGCCTCTCTGATTGTCTGGAACTTGATTTTGTCCTCAACAGTATCATAGGTGGGCTTTGAGTACTCAAAATGATAAGTATTGTCGTACTATGAAGGCATTTTATCCTTTTATACTTTATTAATTATAATTCATTTTTTTCATTTTATAATATGCATTAAATCCATCATCAATAATAATGTTATATGGGGTTTTGGGGTTTTGGGGTTTTGGGG